ATCGTCGAGACCTGGTGGAATGAGCGTACCCCTTCAGATCGAAGCAATTTCCAAGCCTACTTGTGTAAAGAGAGTATCCATGCCAATGCTGATGGCCATAATCATGGCGATAACAATCCTATTGATACAACTAGGTAGTTTGTCGGCAAGAAGGGATACGCACTCGATTGGGAGGGTACCTAGCCACCATTGGCCGAAAGGCCTATGGAAAATATCCCTAATGATTTGATCAATATCGTCAATTCATTAGGAGACATATTGGTGAAAACAGAGAAACTTCTGGTTGATGGTGGAGCTGAAGCTGTGGACCTGATCAAGGAGGGTCTTGATGCTACCTACAACACCATCAATCAAACAGTATATGATATTGGCAAGGGTCTTAAGCGAGGATATGATAAGGTGACCAGCACCATTGGAGAGGTGGCCGATAAAACAGAGTATGGGGCCAAGAAACTCTTTGACGAAGCCACGAAGGCTACTCAAGAAACACTAAACGGTATAGGAGATACTGTGGCGGAGGGTGCTCGCGAAGAGGAAAACTTCGCTGATAATGTTGCAAAGACGGGCGGGGAAGTCATCAACCAGGCTGAGAGCTTCGTCAGCGACACGACTAACACTGTGGCTCACGAGACACAAGATATCGGCAACAAAATAGGGGATACCGTCAGTGGTTGGGGAAGAAGTTTGACAATCTGGGATATAGATTAGAGAGGACCTTCTTGACAGCATAGAATACCCTGTAACAAAGCTATTTAGGGCTTTCCAGAGACCGTACAGTAGCAGCCATAAGAAGGTAGCGTAGGAGCTCTGAGAAGCTGCACCATACGTGGGACATCGTATGAAGAGATTTTATAGCATCACTGAGCATAAAAAGTGCTACTTGAGGTTCCTAGCTAGGTTCGACAATATACGTTCTAGTTCGGGTGATATGTACCCAATATGCGTGCAAGGAGCAAGTCTTTGCGAGAAAAGTAGTAAACTCTCTCCGGAACATGTAGACACGAGTAAACGCTTTTTGATATTTGATTGCTTTCCTATGCTTACTTTGCTGCTCCGATGTAGGAGCGTCTAAAATAAACCAGTGGAATTTACTTTTACTTCTAATGGGCCTTTTCTTTTGCCTTGGCTGCCGACGAAGACCTAATATGCACTTCATGGCCATCAATCTGACTACAGTTGACGTTGGACCTGAAGGAACCTTGTGCTGACTATCGAAAATTCTGTTAGGAGCTTTGTCGTGAACTGTGAGGCCACTTTTCACCTTGACTGTAGCAGAAGGGTGCTTTTTACTGAAGAACTCTCCAGGCTCGAAGGCTAAATTATGCATGAGTAATCTAGTAGCCTCTAAAAGGGTCGACGCCCCGACTTACCATTGCATCTCATGAGCGAGATGTACGAGGGTTGCTGCTGCTTGGTGTTATTGGAAGGCATTTTGTTTATCGCAAGATCAATGAAAGATACTGGTAATATGTCGTCAAGCGCTGGAACTTGACGTCTCGATTCAAGAATTTATATGTTTCCATTGCAGTAAAGATAATAATGGTTCTCCACAAGCCAATAAGTACTGGCTTCTATCACGTCAGTTTCTTCGAAACCTTTCAATATCAATCGACCGAAGATCTTGACCACCACTCGGGCCGCATGATTGTTTGGCTTCTGCGGTCAAAATAATGCGGAACATCCTCATCGGTATTTTACCGAACCACATACCCTTAGCACCCTAGGAGAGATATTTGTTCAGCCGGTGATTATCCTTGTCTTATTTGTCTATGTCAAGATCATGCAAATGTTGCCCAAGTCTTGATACCAACATAATTGCGGGCCTAAGAAGTCGACGTGGAAACTGGACCAATCAAGACACATTGGGCATTCTTCCGAGCATTCAGATATGTCACCCAATTAGAGAAAACTCGATGAGAACGCACAAACCACTCATCATGCCTAGTCATGGGAAACGCACCAAGAAGAGTAAAGATTGACGAGCTTAGCTGGGCAAAGTTCATATGTTTGCCTTCTATTGGTCACTAGCATAATGCCAGCCCCATTCAATTCACCATCAGTTTCAAATTGTTGCATGCGTATGCATAAATCATCTTTTCGTTGCAATGGTTGCCTTTGCTCTGATTCTGTCATTCTGGAGCTAGTGGCGCATGTTGTAAGGCAAAAGAGACCACCACAAGCCAGTCTAGGCAACAAAAAGCTCGTGTTTCCTATGCAGTCGTGAACAAACCTCCATGATTCGAGTCTCATTCTCGCAGTTAAGTATTCCATGGCGAACAAAGTGAGCCAGGTAAGTTAATGCGCCGTAGGGTGTGAACTTATCCTGCATGAGAGCTTCTTGAACCTCGGTTAAGGACATCAATGTGAAGCTCTCCACTTCGCCGTCGTTTGGTGTGGGATTCATGTTGGCGGGAAGCTCGAGCTCAAACACGAATTGGCAATGGTGTTGGCATCCAGTACAGCCGTCATTTAAGCTTGACATTTGATAAGATACGGTGCCACAAGAACGTAGATGAGCCCTGGAGAAGTCAGGAGAGATGCCCGTTTCCTCGTGGACCTCTCGAATCATGCCCTCTAAAGGGCTCTCTCCAAAGATGATATTTCCAGCCACAAAGTTGTCCAACATGCTAGGGAAAGCGGACTTGGTGTACGAGCGGCGGGGCACCCAATATTGATATTCTTGGCTACCATCATCGCGCTTGAAGCGCACGAAGCCTGTGGCATGAACACCATGACTGATGACACCAAAGAGACCGACGCCAGAGAGATCGACATTTAGCACGAGATCCCCATTGCGGGCATAGACAGGGAGGCTTTCATTGTACCATCTACTAACCACGCGGTGCTGTGCTAAATTCTGTTGAAGAGTGGTTTGTAACTTTTGAGTCCGGTCACTAGCTTCTAACTCGGCTCCGCCGAGAGTCAGGAAGCGTTGATTGCGGTCTATTTCCCAGATATCTTCTGGCCATATCATTGCATCAATTGCGGTGCGGTGGACATAGCCCAAAGGCTCCGACACCCCTCGAACAAAAAAGTAGAAGTAATCACTCATATGTTTTCGATACATTTCAGGATCGTGCTGATAGTACGGCCATCTATACGTGAGAATGATCAGCGAGCAATTCATAGCGTCAACAACCTCTGGCATCTCTTACGTGTCTACTTTGTTGAGCAAGGCCAAGGCAGAAAAGGTCGGCATGGTTGTGCAGGCGTTAGCTTCAGGCTGACTCGAGTTGCCTAGCGACCAAAGCCAAAGTCTTATATAAGGCAACGGCTAGTCGTCTGCACGAGATATCGTGGAGTCACTAGAGATATGATGTGACGAGAGTTGCATGATAGCCAGGCGGCTGGACGCAAAGGTATATAGCGACCAGATTCAGGGAAAACGAATACCAATCCCTAGACTAATCATACCAATACCAATGAGACCAAAACACCTGCGGTCAGAATGAAAGCTAGCCAACTAGGTTTGAACCGATGAACGCCCCCCTTCCCCGCGCTTTCGGCGCCTTTGGAACCGACCAACCAGCCCGAGACCGATGAAGGATAGTAGATCAGCAAGGTTTATCATTTTTCAGGGAAAATGATTGGACATGTGTCAGAATAGCGCGGACGAGCCAACGAATCAATGAGACACGCAAACACCCAGTATTGGAATTAGCAGGCTATATTATGAGGAGAAACAGCACTTTCAATCCGGACAAAACTAGGCTTAGCACTAATGTTCGCAGCCCGTGATGTAATACTAAACAAACTTGTGTCTATCCAAATTATCTCTCAATAATCATCGACTATCGC